TATATATATATATATATATATATATATATATATATATATATATATATATATCTAATGTCGTTCCTATTTTGATAATGATTATACAGAGATATTCAACATTCGAAAAAATCGTACACAAAACGTGAGATGTAAAAACGTTTTGATTAGAAAAATACAAACAATTCATAACATTTGTTATATTCTCAAAAGAATATATATATAAATATATATATATTGAAGTGATACTTGATATCTGAAGCACTCACGTCTCATTTTATCTTATTTTATCTTTTAAAATCCCATTTTTTCACCTAACTTTTCGATAACTTATTTAATAACTTCTTAGATAAATGTTATTTTCACAAAACTTATTGTTTTATTGTAAAATTGAATTTTATCACGATATACAAAAAGAAAATAGTCTCATTTAACAAATTATTGTTAACATTATTGTTCATTAGAACGTTGTTTTTTAATATTATTTATTAAAATTGTTCTAATTATTAAAAGTATTAATTTAAACATTAATTCTATTTTATTTTACAATGAAATTTTTATTTAAAAATTATGAATATGCGATCTTGTAAATTATGACGAGACAATTGATAATTTTACGAACGATAATGAAATAGAACAATTTTGAAAATTGTATATTTTAATAATAGGATTAACTTACGTTTTTTTTTCCATTGATAGAATAATCACATATTGTTAGATTATTTTTCTATTGATAATATATTTTTTTTTACATAGTTTTATAACTACGATAACGTTCTAATAACATAAACCGGTTAAATGGATATACCAATAATTGCATTCTCGGTATGAAAATGTCTTTATGACACATTGACCGACATTTTCTATTTAAAAAAAAAAATAGAAAAAGAAATAGAGAATAAAATGTGAAATTAATCGATCATAAATCCAAAAAAAAAAAGAAAGAACAAATTAAAATTAATAATTTGCTAGAAATTGTTTCATATAATAAGTTTAACAAATTAATTTTATAAATTAAAATATAATAAATTAATAATAAATTTAAACAAATAAATATGTACGAATAGAAATATTTTATATTAAAAATTAATATTATTAAAAATATATTAAATTAATCAATTTTTGTCCCATTTAAAAATATTAAATAATATGTTTTATTATTAATACGAGAGTTAACATTTCTGATTTCTTTTATTAAAACAATGATTGCACATGTGTATAACGAATAACATTCCTCTAATCAGAAAAAGAAAATAATATTATCTGCAAAGTGACATTTTCGATCTTTTTACCGATGTACGTACGTACATATGTGTAAACGTAAACGAATGTGAATTGAAAACGTTTCTGAATGCATTTATAGTGCATTATAATGAATTTATATATATATATAATAATTATCGAGTTTGTAATTATTTTTTCTTTTTTTTCCACCGATGATAGAATTATTAATAAAATAAATGGTTATTATATTAACAAAATTAATTTATATTGGTATTATTTTATCAAAGCTAAAATATATATATATATATATATATATATATTTATTATCTGTAGATAGTGATATGTTTATAACGGGGGATTTAGATGCATAAGTACAAACGTTGATAGATTACTTTCTCATAGGCAAAATCATCATAGGATTCTTTATGAACAATTTACATTCCTATTAAATATATGAAATATACAACATATGAGAAACAAAATAAATATATAACAAAATTTAATATACAAATAACTTTCAATCACATTTCTATCATAATTAATATGACATATTTTATATATGATTCGATATATAGAATAAAATCAATCGGTTTTAGGGATTTTATTGTTATCTGATATTTGTACACATTTGCTAATATACGATAATCTATGAAACTTGGATATATTTAACCATTTGTATGCTGACGCGTTCTTTGTATTTCTCAATTTCAAAAATGTCGAACGCGACACCGTTATCGGTATAGAAATGAGAAGTAAAAATTCACATTCCTAATGTTTGAAAAAAAAAAATAATTACAAAGTAAAATATTTTGTAATTTTCATTACAAAGCTCTTTTTTTCTACAAATTCTTTTCCTCTTTTTTTTCTTACAATGAACATAAATTACAATAACGAGCAGAAATACAATCGCATTTTTCCTCGTTCAAACAATGAAACATTCCAAAAATAACAACATTACAAATTTAAACAATATAATAATGAGACAATAAAATTAAATTTTCAAATTAAAAAAAAATATATATATATATATATAAATAATTATCATACTTTCACAATTTGGCATTGACATTTTAAGAATTAGGACAACTTACAGATGATCGTGTTGAGAAATAGAAATTGTTGTCATTACAAGTCTTACATGTATAAGATGATTGTCCTAAACACGATTAGAATGTAAATAATACATATATATATATATATATATCTCAAAGATTACATGCTATACCAATTAAAATATTTTTGTTTTGTTTTGCAGCAAACTGTCCTAGCAAGTATAAAAAAGGATGATCCTAGTTTCGACGCTGATGCATATACAAGTCTGGCGATATTGTATGCTGTATTTGCTATTTGCAACTGGTTAGCACCATCATACATATCATTGACAGGTCCTAGAGTCGCCATAGTAACCGGTTGCTGCTGTTACGTTCTCTTCATAGCGTCCTTTTTATGGCCACATCCGGCATTTCTCTATACCGTATCAGCTGTTCTCGGTGCTGGTGCAGCTTTTATATGGACAGGACATGGCCAATATCTTACAGAAAATAGCGACAATGAAACAATGTCGAGAAATTCCGGTTTGTTTTGGGCGATATTTCAATCATCACTCTTCATCGGCAACTTATTCGTTTATTTTATGTTTAGAAATGAACATATTGAACAATCTGTAAGACAAACTGTATTTATAGTGCTCATTGGTTTAGCAGTATTTGGTACAATCATTTTATCATTGTTAAGAAAAGTACCACAAAGATTTGCTCTTGGAGAAGCTGAAGGTGTGTCCAGTGCTGACAAAGAACTTAATATACCTGAACCGGCAAAAGAGAAACCTCTTTTAGCAGCTTGGTATGCTTTGAGAGACGCATTTTCTCTGTTTGTTACACCAAGAATGATTTTTCTATCCTTTACATTCATTTATACGGGTCTCCAATTGACTTTCTTTTCCGGTGTATATGCTACTAGTATAGGTTTCACTAAAGCTATGGGTGAGTCACGTAAAAGATTGATCGGTTTATCTGGTATATTTGTAGGAATCGGTGAAGTTGTTGGTGGTACGTTGTTTGGTATTTTTGGATCTAAAGTAGCAAATATTTGTAGTGGTTCACCCGTTGTTATTATTGGCTGTATCACTCATCTTTTTGCTTTTATCAGTATATTTTTAAATTTACCTAATTCAGCGTCCTTCATTGATACCGATGATAAAGGTTTCATAGAACCATCTTCTATTCTTGCTATGGCAGGTAGCCTTGCATTGGGTTTTGGTGATGCTTGTTACAACACTCAGGTTTATTCCTTACTCGGTGTTTTATTCTCGATTGAAAGTGCATCGGCATTTGCATTGTTTAAATTTTGTCAATCGGTAGCTGCAGCAGTCAGTTTTGCTTACAGTAGTAAAATTGGTTTACATTTACAATTATTTATATTACTCGTTTCTATTATTATTGGTACAACTACGTTTGTCATAGTTGAAAGAAAAGCACGAAATTCTTTAAATGAGAATCAACCTGACATAGATCCAGCGATTATCGAAGGAGTTAGTGTAGATGATTGAAGAAATTTGATTTTTATTATAGAAAATATATATTTTCGATCAAGGTGCAATTTTTGAAATGATCGTTTTATCACGATTGAATATATTTTATGCGATATCTTTTTTTTTATGATCATATTTTTTAATTAGAAGAAAAGAAAAAATATTTGTATATCGAAATATTAATACAAATGTTGACAATAATCGTTTTATTATAGTATTGAATCAACAATGGCTGTGTCGATGAAGTCGTTACATTTGTAAATACGTGAGTTTCTTTCTTATCATTATTTTTTTTATGCTTTGTCAGTTGATTCTCTTGTACTATAAATAGTAAAATTTAATAAAAAATATGTGAAAAGTAATACACACACACACGTGTATATGTATGCATTATAAATATACACGTTAGGTATAATTAATAATTCATAATATAAAATTTGTAATTTATAAATTTTTACATTAATTAGAAATAAGTATATGAATGTTATTAAAAGTAATATTACCAATTGTTACTAACAGAAAATGGTAAATGTTCCATATATAAATTTGTTTTAATCCGATTAAGTTTAATATAATTTTCTACAAATAAAAAGACTGCAGCAGAGAGGGATCGTAATTCATATATATATGATGAACTTCCAAGAAACATTCCGATTATATTTTTTATCAGGAAAGTCGCGAAAGGAAGTTATTTTAATTTAATTTTCTTTGTAGAAAATATTTGTACGTTTGGTCATGTGAATCTGTTAAAAAAAAAAAAAACAAGTTTTTCAAATATTTTCATTAAACATTCATTAAATTTTTATAGAATATAAATAATCAAACTATAATCCATCCAAAGTGTTGAATCAATAATGGTAAACAAATGCAACTATGTAAAACAAATCTAACGATGATTTAAAATCTGTAAATTAGTTCTTCAATTGTTTTTAGCTGTAATCTATTACATCTTATTACGTATTTACATAAAAATGTGTTTTTTTTTGTTTTCCTTTAATGATTCAACTTGTTAGATGGATTATAAGTCCCAAGGTACTGTATTGTACATAATCAAACAAAACAATTTTAATTTCATTGTTGTTAAACTTGATTTATAAAAGAATAAAATACATAGAATTATATTTAAATTGTTTCATTTTAATATATTCTATATATATATATTTTATATATACATATATTGTATTGTATCAAAGTATAAAATTAAAATAAGATGAAAAAAATGTGTCAAATTGTTGTAGATAAAAATATGTATTTATAATTAAATCGTGTTATGAAAGTACACGAAAATTATACAGTTGGTTGAAATTATTTTGCAAGGAAATACAATATTTATATTGATTCATTGTATTACCTATGTATTTCACATACCTAGTGTATCAATATTTAGAATATATCCTAAAATTAATTTTATTTTCAGGTTAAATATTTTAATCATCCAGTTGACAAAGACTAGCAACACCTCTATTTATCCAATGCGATTCCTCGATCAATGTAGGAAGAGAAATATACATGACAAAGTTTGAAGAATGTCCTGTTGTTGCTAAGACACCACGTCGAGCGCTTGTTTTATAAATGGGACAATGATAAACCGATGAAAATGAAAGTTCGGTTTTTAAAGTTGGTTTCAACCAAATTATAGGCAAAGTATCAAACATAACTTTAGGTCTTGATTCATCTAACGAACTTGTTTCTCTGTTCCACCTTGCACCTTCCAAAAAAAGACCCTAAAAATAAGATCAAAATTGAATGATAAAGGAAAGAAGAAAGTTCAGGATAAGACAACATAAACGTACTTTTATATAAACACCAGTAGACGGTGATCTATCAACAGTTGTTTCAAATTTTGTAATCTCGAAATCAAATTCTATCAGATCGATAGGTATCTTATGTTTGCGTGCATGATTTTGTAAAACCCCGGTAAGGAATGATTGTGTAAAGAAAAAACCGGAGATCCAAAATATAATTGGTGCATCATTATCAATCCAATCTTGTAAAAATTGTATTCTTGCTAATAGATCATTGATATAACTTCCTAATGGTTTTAACGATGGGTACGATTTTCTATCCCACGCAGAAGGTACTTTACCAATATTCATACAAGTAAATACCTCTTCCAATTCCGGTGACATCAATACTTGACCTTTTATTGCTTTTTGTACATTTGTCAACGTACTCTTTATAACATTCGTTAACTGATTAAATTTATTTAGTTCCTGTCGTAAAACGGTATTCATACTGTTCATATACAACACGGGATATTTTTCTGCAACGTCTACCATATCAAATTGAGCTGGCATTTTTGATAATATATCAGCAGCCAGATTATACACCATTTCATCAACATCACGTTCAGCGGTTACTCCACTTATTTGTGGTTGCGTTAAAAGAGCATCAGCGAGTAATTGCATCGATTCTTGATTATCTTTTGTAATATCTGCATTATCGTGAAGACCATATACCTCAGGTGCTTGATTAATAGGTAAACTTCTTATGTAATCGATGCAACCTTCATAATCGGTATTTTCAGGCAAATGGTAAATTCCACTTGGAGAGAACGAATATCTACAAAATAAAATATGTAAAGATTTTGATAAATAAATTGATCAACAAAATATTTACTTCCTATTCGTAACGACTTCAGGATTATAAAAGTTTTTTAATAATGAATTAAGTAAACGTCTATCCTTATCATCCGTTACTCGTCCTCCATAATTGCATTCTCCTGTTAAATACAGAAGCGCATCAAATGGTATTTCCTCGTAATCGTTTAAAAACAGCTAAAAGAAAATTTAAGTAAGTTAAAATAAAAAATTTATATAACAACGTTTAGAAAATAGAATATGTTTTTTGTTACCTGCAATTGTAAAATGCTAATGCGTAAATCAGATTCATTAAATTCGTAAGGAATATTCCATCCTAGTGGTCCAAAGTTTCGTCTTTCTTGTACTACGGCATGAAAGAAACACAATGAAAACAAAAGGCTTCTCCATTCCAAAATTTTAAAACAACTATGAAAAAATTTCATGTCAGAAATAGGATCGTTCAAATAACTGCGTAATAAATTATTCTTCAAGCCCTTAGGAGGTTCGTTTGTTATTTTAACGCCATTTTGTAAAATGGAAACAGGGAATTCTTCGGATGGATAACTTGTAAGCCATAATCGAAATTTGGGATGAGTATTTTCTGGTGTAATGATTTCGTCACAAATTCTATCCAATTCTTTCATCCAAGAGACAGCAAGATGACAATTTTGTAAAATAACCCATTCACCACTTTTGATACTCTGTTTAATCATATTGGTTGCTATCGGACCTTGGCCTTGACCTAATGATATGGTCATTAGATCTTTTTTTGACAAACCATTATCCTCAGCGAATTTAATTAAACCTGCCATAGGATCAGAACCAGGAGAAAGTATAAATATCAAAGGTGTGATATTACTAGAATCGTTGTATGATCCTTGAAGATCAAATGGCGGTGGCTCGACGTAAGATTGATCCATATTTTCTATTATAAATCTTTGTATAGTTGCTATAATTTTGTCAGGTCTGATACATCGTATGATAATAAGTTTCTCAAGATTTCTACAATCCAAGTGTTCAAACGGTGTCGGTAATTTTTCTTTTTCTGGATTCGATAAGTCGTAACAATCTTTCCACATTGAAGTGTGTTGTTCTAAAGACATTTTAAAGTTTTCTATACCAGATAAAGCAGTTGCTTGCACCACTTCAGACCAGGATTTATCAGAAAGCCAAGATGGTGCTGGATTTGGATAAGGATTATCCAACGCAACACCTCCTGTTAATAAAAATGTCCATAAATCTTCGTTTAATTGTTCTTCAGCACGCATGAGACCAACGCACAGTATCAACGAGAACATCAGTTTATGTTGTTCAAAGAGTGAACGACATACATTTCTGTAGATGTTCGCTGTAAAATGAGAATTGAGATTTTTCATTCGTACATTTAAATCAGTCGATTGTTCGCTGTTGGTTATCGACATGACATAAAGATGAATAAACCATGACAATGAATATTGATACATGGGATCAACATTGCCTAATTCAGAAATGCAAAAGAAAAGTACTGAGCCATGTTTAGAAACTGGTTTGTAACCATCACGAGCCTGATCAATTTCACCTGCTGTTTTAGCAGCTGCATTTTGTTTAGCTTCGATATCTTCTGATAAAACTTTCGAAGTGGAAAGTATTTTTATTGCTGTTTCATCTTCCAATATATTTCCTTCTGAAGTTGATAAGACCTCTAATATTTTGTCTTCTATTTCTTTTAATATACGTCGATTGTTTGCACCTTCAATAATCAATTGATTCTTTTTTTCCTCAAGAATTGGCAACTCTTGTGCAACGACTATTCCTAAAAGTTGATCCTCCAAACCATGAGGTGTAATCATAAAATTTAACAATGTTACTTTAACAACTATTTCTGGTAAATAATGGGGATTCCTTAAACGAGTTGTAATGTAGAAACGAAAATTCGAGTTATATTCGAGAACATTTTCTCCAAATTTAATATACGATATGCCTCTTTGTTTATAAACGTTTTTCATTAACACTGGTTCCAATATGGCATCTATATTTTCAAGAATATTTTCCAACAAAACTGGTCTACCAAATTGCAACGCTGTTTCCACGACACTCACGTAATTAGGATCGGTGAGTTTTATAACAGATAATTTATTTTGTTTCTCCATATTCTTAACCCATTTATTAGCTTGATTTTGTGGATCTATCATAAGGGGCCATCGATCAGCATTCATTACTATAATACCATTTTCTATAGAAAAATTATCAGCGGGTAATCCATGAATCGTCCATGCTCTTATCTTCACTGGTTCACCAAGGATGTCAATCAAATTGAAATGTTTTCCACATGGAATATTTGCTTTTGTACATGATGCGTGCCATTGTGTTATAAGATCATTTCTATAATCTATGGTAAAGGCACCCAAATAAGCGACAACACCAGAAGACAACAACACATCTCCGATGACACTTTGAAGACTTGCACCAAGTGCCTGAGCTGTTTCACTCCATCTTGTTTTTTCTCCGCTTAAACCACCCAATAA